GATGTGGTCTGGATGTTGTCCTGTGTCCTCTGGTCTCTATTTTAGGAAGAGTTGTCTTTTTTATATTTTCATAGATTAATGTGGTTTTGGGAGGAGATTTCTGCTGCTCTACCCACGTTGCCATATTGGCTCCACCTCCTCGACATTTATTTTATAACTGGAGGTTTATACCTTTGAACCCCCTTCACCCATTTTGCCCATGGCATGTTTTTTAAAAAGTATCTTTGTTTTGTCCTTCATTTATTTTAAAAACCATAGTTCTCTTAAAAACTAATTCAGAATAAAGCAGAAAGTAAAAGTCCTTCATAACTGGATGTGTGTATATATGGGTGGGGGTTGGGGATGGGGAGTTATGAAGTAAAACTTAGAGACGTCTATTACATTCTAAAAGAATCATTTTTACATTTTCTAACAAGAGATGTTTGACATGGCTAAATCAAGGCAACCATGTCCATGTCCAAGTCTTCAAACTGAAGTATGCCCTGAGATGGAGTGTGAATCAAAATGTCCTGCTATACAGCTGAAAATCAAATTTAATTTTTTACGTCAGGACAATCATAAAGTTATAGAACTGTTGAAAAGATAGTACAAAAAATGTTCCTTAAACATTGCTGTATTCTGTAAATCAAAATCTGTCTTTATTCTTATAAGCTATTTGAGAGTAAGTTGCTGTCCTGATGGCCCTCACCCTAACCCGTTAGTGTTTATTTCCTATACACAAGGACATTTTCCTACCTAACCATAATACCACCATCCAGTCACTGATGTATTACTATCATCTAGTCCTTACACCACATCTGAGTTTCTCCAGCTGTTTCCATAATGTCCTTTATAGCAAAAGGCTCTAGTTTAAGGCATGTGTTAGATTTAGTTGTCATTCCTTTTTTTCTCCTTCAGTTTGAAGCAAATTTTCAGTCTGTTCTTGACTTTCGTGACCTGGACACTTGTGAACATTAGACAAGTTATGCTGTAGAACATCCCTCAGCTTGGGTTTGTCTAACACTTCCTTACTATAACATGGAGATTATATATATGTTGGTGGAATGTCACACAATTGATGCTGCTTTTATCTTACTACATCATGTCAGGTGATCCATAATTTCAATTTATCTCATTTCTTATGTTCTTTTGAACACTTGACTTAAGGCAGTATCTGACACTGTAAAGTTGCTATTTTCCTTTTGTAATTAATAAATATTTTGTAGGGAGGTATTTTTGAAACTACAGACACATCTCATTTTATTGCTTTTCACTTTATTGTGCTTCACAGATATGGCATGCTTAACAAATTAAAGGTTTGTGGCAACCCTTCACTGAGCAAATATTGGCACCATTTTCCCAACAGCAATTGCTCACTTTCTGTGCCTGTGTCACATTTGGTTAATTATTCTCGTATCCAAAACTTCCTCATTATTAGTATTGTACTTTTTATGGTGATCTGTGATCTGTGCTTCCTGAGGTTACTGCTTTGGTTTGGGGGAGCCCACAAACTGCACCCATATAAAATGGCTAACTTAATAATAAATGTGTATGTTCTGACTGCTTCCACCCCTGCCATTCCCCCCATCACTCTCACTCTCCTTGCACCTCCCCAGAACTCTGAAGATGTACAAAGAGATTAATGTTGTTTTCATGTCTCCTAACACATACATTCTGCAGACCATGGATCCATGAGTAATTTTGAATTTCCAGTCTTATTTAAGAAATATACTTGTAAGTCTGTAGATGCCATAGATAATGACTCCTCTGATGGACCTGGACAAAATGTTCAAAAACCTTCCAGAAAGGAATCACCATTTTAGATGCCATTAAGAACATTCATGATCTATGGGAAGAGGCCAAAATATTGACATTAACAGGAGTTTGGAAGAAATTGATTCCAACCCTCATGGATGACTTTGAGGGGTTCAAGACTTCGGTGGAAGAACAACTGCAGCTGTGGTGGAAAGATCAAGAAAACTAGCATTAGAAGTAGAGCCTGAAGATGTGGCTGAATTGCTGTGATCTCACAATAAAATTTGAATGGATGAGTTGCTTCTTACGGATGAGCAAAGAAAGTGGTTTCTTGAAATGGAATCCAGTACTAGCAAGGATACTGTGAAGATGGTTCAAAGGACAACAAGGGATTTAGAATATTACATAAACCTAATTGATAAGCAGCAGCAGGGTTTGAGGGCTAACTCTAATTTTGAAAGAAATTCTGTGGGCAAAAATGCTATCAAACAGCATCACATGCTACAGAAAGGCCATTCATGAAAGGAAAAAGTCAATCAATGTGGCCAACTTCATTGTTGTGTTAAAGAAATTGCCACCGCCACCTTGATAGCAGCCATCAACATCAAGGCAAGACCCATTACTATCGAAAAGATTACAAATTGATGAAAGCTCAGATGATGGTTAGCATTTTTTAGCAACAAGTTATTTTTTAATTAGGGTATGGACATTGTTTTTTTAGACACTTAATAGACTATTATATACTCAATAGACTATAGTAGAAACATAAACTTTATATGCACTGGGAAACCAAAAAATTGATTTGACTTGTTTTATTGTGATTTTTGCTTTATTGAGGTGGTCTGGAATCAAACCTGCAGTATCTCTGAGGTATGCCTGTATATAAATATCCAGGTCCTCCTCAAACATGCCATTGACTGATTGGTTGATTGATGTATATGGATTCATGGTTTCTTTTACTCATTGGGTTATAACCTTTTACTGTCATTATTAATTATTGTGCTCAAATTGTTCATGAAATGACTAGTGGAGTTCATTCAAACTGGCTTCTGAGTCTTTTTGACAAGTTCCCCCCCCTTTTTTTCGCACTTTCTTACTGTTATGCATAAGATATTCCAGGCTTTTCTTATATTTTTCCTACTCTAGACTTAAATTTAGCCATTTCTCCAAGGAGCCCTAGTTTCTTCTTGTGGAAAATAGCATTTACAAACCAGTGTCTGGGTATCAGGTATGCTTGTAAATAATAAGAGGGTTACTGCACCTAAACTCCCTCAGTGAAAAGTACTAGGAAATATACCCAAGACCTACTGAATCAGAGTTTGCATTCTAAACAAAATCCCTAGGTGGTTCATATGCACATGAAAGTTTGAGAAGCACTGTCCACCTGCAGAGTAAATGACCTTAATATCCAAGCCAGCTGTTGGAGTGTCAGCTGTCACAGCTTCATCTAAGGCATTAGGAAGGAGAAAGGAGGCAAAAGGACTCACCTCCCTGTTTAGTCAGCTTCCTTTAATTCCAGAAGACACTTGCAACAATTCTGCTAACATTTCATTGTTTAGAAGTTAGTCACTTGGCTGTGTGCAAGGGAGGCAGGGAAATCTAGTCTTCAATTGGGCTCATTGCCTCCTGGAATAAAATTAGCATTCTGTATCTAAGGAAGAAAGGGTATGACGGATACTGGGTAGGTTACAGGAGTCTCTGCCCCTCTGGCCGTCTTCTGTAACATCTTAAAATGCTAGAAATTTGTCAGTAGTAGCCAACACTGGGCACAGCTACCAATCACCCATATGTGGACAGCAGGTGGATGGTTAGCCAGGACTTGAAGCACAAATGAATAAAACCTGCCTTTCATACAGACTTTTAGCATCGTGGCCACACACTCTACCTCTGCAAGGGCCAGAATTCAAGGAACAGCACGACAGAATGGAAACTATGGAAGGCACAGGTTAGCACAGCTGCTCAGTAGGCAGACTCTAGAAACAGACACCCCTCCCTGCTCTCCCGGTTCAAATCCCATCTCCATCACTTACCAGCTGTAGGGCTTTCAGTTCAGTTACATCTCCTTACTAGGCCTCAATGCCTTTGTATGAAGCTACCTCACAGGTTGTGGTAAGATGTGGAAATAACCTACACAAAGCTCTTGGAGCACCTGGCTCAGAGCGAGCTTTCCCTACACAGTAGTTATTATTCCTCAGCAGAACTACCACAAGTCAAGACACAGCCTCCTTGGAAATGGCTGCCAACCCGGACACTGTGTGGAGCCCAGGGGCCTGTCTCAGAGGAAGTACAGAAGCCACCAACTTGGAAATGCCGTCAGTTTACTTAATACTTTCAGCCCAGTATTCCCACCAGTTGAGAGAAGACCACAGCCAGCTCCATTTACTATTTAACACCCTTGTGACAAATCCCCGGGACTTTCCTGTTTGTTGTCATTTTATGGCACAATCTCTCTCTTCTTTTCTTAAGCTTGGGTTTCCTTCGTGACTGCTTGAACTACTTCCGATTCATTTTTAAAAACGATACTTAAAAAAAGAAAAACAAAATAACTAACATGCTAGAGGTAGTTTTTGACTTTGTGCCCATCCTTTCCATGATAAAGCCTGCAGCCAACACTGTCCCTTTACAAGGACATTTAGCAAACCCTGGCCAAGCCACATCTGTCACTGGATACACGAAGGGACACTATTATTTGCTTAGACAAACATCCTGGGCAATTTGGCTTCTTTTACTTTGGCATTAATATAACCGGTTTTGCTGAGTACCTTAGGGGACCTTGAAAGACCAGTTCTTGATATGTTAACTTCCTCACTGGCTTATCATTTTGGTTTATAAATTCTAACATATTTGTCAATGGCCTCCAGGTACTACTGAAAGAAATACCTAAGATAAACAAAGAGCATTTTCTTCTTCTTAAGATCTGTGCCTCCATGACATGATAGGGAAAGATTTAAAAAATGCCAAAGAATGTGTGAGTGTGTGTGTCATTGTAGGTGTTTATGCAAACCCAGGACTAAATGTTCCCGTGCACCACGACTTTACCTCCAGCCCCTTCCCAGTTTGGCTGAAACGGTTGGAATTAATCCCTTTGCCCTTTTAAGCTCTGATTTAAACTGGAACCAAAGGGACTAGTGAGAAGAGTAACAGTGCCCCCTGCAGGTGTGTGCCTATGACAGTGACCTTGACCATCAGAAACCTCACCAGCGGCCTCCAGAAGCAGCAGGACTGTGTTCCCTGGCATCTGGCCTGATGGCATATGCGGAATAGTGATCAGTGGTGAATATACATGTGGCACTTACTGTCAGTACCTCATGGAGGCCAGAGACTGACCTCTCCATGCTTTCTCTGCAGTGGGCTGCGGTAGCTAGAGCTGTGATCTGTTCAACCAGTTTTCCCATTGTTCTTTTCCTGGTGACAGCATCCCCTTTCCTTCAGGAAATTTCTCCTGTGCTCCAGGTAAATCTAGTAGGCTTGACAAAACAATAATGCTGATCCTCTTTACAGGGGTGAGATTACAATCCAACAAAGCCAGTCCAGCACCCTTTTGATACTAAGCTAGAAAGCTGGAGGCACTAACCTTTCCCTCACCTGCCACATCCAAGAGGTCAAGGCCTGCCAATTGTACCTCCTAGAGTTCCTTCCTGTCCATCTCTCCTGTAGACCCAATCCCATTTCACTCCTGAACAAGTGTATAGCCTGCTAACTGATGTTCTCAGATCCATCTGGGCCGCCTCCCCCTAGTCTACTGCAGCTGGAGTCATTCTTCCAGAGGTCAAATACAATTTTGTCACCCTACGCATCTGTCATTTATATCCTGGCTTCCCATGGCCTTAGGATAAAGACAAAACTCCTTAATATGGCCCACAAGGCTCACCATAGATTGCTCCCTCCCCCTTTCTCCTGTCTCCCAGGCCCTGCTCCCTGCAGGGTATTTTCATAATAGCAGCTGGGGCCTTCCCAGAGCTGCAGGCCCTGGTATTAACTACTGCTTTGTGCATTCTGCTCCTTCCACCCCAAATGCCCTGACCAGAGCTCTTAAGTTACTTACTCTTTTGTTCTTAGCTCACACATCATTTACTTAGGGAGGCTCACTCTGTCCTCCAAGGTCAAATCCTCCTGAGCACTCTCATAGCACCATTTAGCTTTCAAGTACCTGCCACACTGCAATCCTGCACTGGCAGGCCCACTGATTTGTTTGTCTTCTCCACTGATTACAAGCTTCAGAGACTACGTGCGGTGTCATTTTATTCCTAATAATTGTTGACTGATAATGAAGGAATTGGCCCAAATGGTGGGCACCAAACATAGGCCGGGCCAACAAGAGACTTTCCTCAGAATTTCCCAAATCAAAGGTGGAGGCAAATTGCTCTTCTCCTTTGGGCTCATGAGCTACCAGGAGGCGGGCTCTGGGTTGCAAATGACTATCTTCCCTGCCTTAGACTGCTCACCTGTCTGCAAAATGAAACCTGGCAAGTGGTGAGGAGGGAAGGTCCTGCCAGAGTGGCATCCCTCGTTCCATCCCCAGGCTCCTGAGCTCAGGAGCAGTTCTCTGTTTTCCAGGCCCTCCCAGTCATTCCCAGCTGCACTTGCAACAGAAATATACTTGGTTGAGGCAAGGTAGCCGGTGGTAGGAGCCAAGAGATATAGGACTGGAGAAATATTGGATTAGGACTTTAAAAAACAATAAGCCTATGAATGTATTTGAGATAGCAAATTTTGCCTACTACAATTAGTCTGAATGGATGCACACAGCCATCTGCCATAGCAAAGGTGGCTTGGCACTAACATGCTAGCAAGCATTTGGGGCCTCATTCAAATATTTCATCTGATGGCTGTGTCTTATCTCTGCAGAGAACAGGCAGCCACCAATCTAAACAGCTACCCATTCCTGCAATAAACATGTGTTGTGTACCTACTATGTGCACGACAGATACCACAGGGAATATGGAGTGACTAAGATCCAGTCTCCTTGAGAGGTTCACAGTACAGCTGGTTGGAGTGCGGTGGGGGTGGCATAGGCATAAATAACAAGACAGGAAGTGGTCAGAACTATTCTCAGGTAGCTGACTTCTGAAAGGCTGCCTGAGGGGCAGGGCAGCATGCTGTTCAGAGCCAGAAAGACCTGGCTGTGAATTTTGGATCTTCTGCTGACACTGAGCCTTTGTCTCCCCTGCTGCTAATGGGGCTAATAATACCCTTGCAGGTTATCAAGAAGATTGGAACAGATAAAATATACGAAGTGCCAAGCAGAAAGACTTTCTGAAAATTTGAGTTAATGTTATTAGGTACCCACATAGTACTTTGACAGACACCAGGAAAAAAACCCTGCCCAAAATTTTCCCCCACCCCCACCCCCCATACACACCGCAGCTAGAGCACTTGAGATCCTAGCACTAAGGATTTAGGTTTGGAGTTTATGGTTTGATTGCTAGAAAGTCTCTGTTAAAATGCAAATGCATTATTTGAACATGCTAACACAATGAGTCATTAGAAGATATAAAAAATGATCACAGATGAGGCAAAGTGATCAGTGAAGAACAAAATAGGACTTGGAGAGTAAGACGAATGACAGTAGGGCCCAACCACGAGCCAGGCACTGTGGCATGTTTTTTTCATGCCAACTGACCTTAGACAATTTTGACCTAAGCTCTTGCTGGCTCAGCTTCCTCTTCTGAAGAGGCTAATAACAGCATCTCTCACATAGAATTCTTCTGATAATTAAGATAATCCAAGAAAAGCCCAGGGCCTGTCTGAGAGAAGAGGCCTGTCTGACAGATGAGGAGGCCCCTGCAGCCACAGTGCATCTAGCGAGCACAGAGGCAGCTAAGGGAAGGGAGAGAGCTCTCAGGCTCACCCGCCACCCAGAGCAGTGAAGGAGGCTGCCATGACATGGCCACACGGTGCTGTTTCACCAACTAGTTTGATTTCCTTCGGCTATATACCCCAGAGTGAGGTTACTGGATCATATGGTAGATCTCTTTTTAATTTTTTGAGTAACCTCCATGCAGTTTTCCATAGTGGCTGTCAGATAGGACCATGGGATTAGGCAGAGTAGGGTGAGGGCCTCCGGAGAAAAAAAGCAGAGCAAGATAATTACAGTCAGAACAATGTAGCAATGTGCAAAGAAGTCCCTATTGAAACTCTTTGATAAGCATTACGCAAAGTCAGAGTCACACTAATTCTCTAGGGTAAAGATACCAGACTAGGAATATAGACATCTTCAGTGAGATCAGTTAAAACTCAAAAGGCCAGCAGCAACTTAGCCTGGGATGTTTTGAGTGTTCTGCAGATAAAGAAAAGTGTCTCAGCATAACCCGTGACTTCACTGTAAAATTTACCTTAGCCTGCTAAAAAGCCCAGCTTATTTTAACTGTACCTATGTGCTATATTTCCTTCTCTAATCCTAACCAAGTAATCTGAAACCTAAGAAAAAGACTAATTTAGTAAGCAAGCTCAACTATTAGCAGCCCAAGAAGTTAAGAAGTAAGATTCTTAACTTACTTCAGCAAACAGGCAATAACCCAGTCCACCTTGAGGGCAGGGTAGGCTGTCTTAATTGACATGTTCCCAGAGGAAAACTGCTACCATGAGAAAGAATCAGAGCTGAAAATCTCTTCTGTTACTCATCAAGAATGAACATTCTGGGACCACTCAACAAGTCTGCACCCCTAACCCTTTACCCTCATTCCTGAAAATCCTCAACCACACATAAAACCCCTAGACAATGAGCCAACGATGGACTCTCTTGTCCCCTCCTGGCGTGAGCCGGGAGCTCTGTCCTCTCACTTTATTTCTAAATAAAAGCCTGTACCTTGTTCTCCTACCTTGAGTGTTTGTGAACCTCATTCTTCAGCTTCGTGAACAAGAACCCCGGCATCAGCTGCACCAAATTATGGTCCCATTAACAGTGTATAAAGCTACCCTTCTCTCCACATCCTCACCAACATTTGTTACCATCCACTGGTCATAGTCAACAAAGGGATGGTGAGCAAGTCATGCCACTGGATCCCTTCATGGTGGCGATTCGAAAGAAAAAGATGTGACCAGATCTCACTTATGTTGAGGAATTCTGCTCCTAAACTTCCACCAGTTCTGCAAACACCACCTTTTAAGGTCTGTTCACTCTTGCACTTTCCAAGGTTGAAGAAGTGCCCTGTGTCTAA